TATACAGACATACAGAAGTTCTCCACTTTAAGACTGTCCATTATGGAAGAAACTTTTTAAAACTGCTTCTTGAGGAGGCTTATTTACAGTTGATAACAGGCACAGTTTAAAAATCAAGTACTTGAAAACACATGTGATGTTATTTGTATATAACACATTGATGTTATAAAGTGATCCAAAGTAGGAAATAGCAAGTCTGAATATGAAGTAGCGTTTCGGTGAGGATCACAGCCTAGAAAAATGGACAATAGTGTTTTCATATAGACATCCTCACTCTTAATTAGGATATATTAATAGATTAATATTCAGGATGGAATAATTATGTTTATTATTTTCTTCTCTTGTTGAAGGAGATAGGTATATATATAAAGATTTATTGAAATATTTTCCATTGGGACAGAGCTGGTATAAATTCAGGAATACACTGTGGCTTTAGCACAGTCACATGGGAGAACTCCTTTAACTAAATAAAAGCAAAAATTTTCATCTTATGAGAGTTTCTGATGTTTCAAAATGTTGTGGTTTTTTTTTTTTTTTTTTTTCCTACAACAGGAAACCCCAAACACAAGCCCTTTATCAAGGAAAAAGTTCAGACAACCTTAATTCAGAAATTATGTTCTTCAGGGGAATATACCTGTCACGTAATTTTTTACTACATTTCACTATTCTGCTATAGGATACTTTGCTGGACATCACGAAAAAGTGGTATACCTCAGGCACACAGAAAAAAGCACATGGCTTTGAGGTATTTTGAACCATATTACTCTCCACTGCATGGGAACTTGTAAACCTCTTATTTGAAGGGCTCTCTCTCTCCATCTATAAAGAAAAACTGAATTCTGAAACACTTCAATTCATCAACTCTCAGTTCTTCATATTGCTTGCAGGATTCACTAACAATATTTGCTAAACCATGGGGCAAGTTTCCTACAGTAACTAAGATGCAGTGCAAATAAGATAGCACTGGGCAAAGTTTATTTTTAGCAAAGCTCTACAAAGCTCACATGTACACCTGTCAGGGACTGCGGACTTAATAGTTTTTATCTGCTTATGGTTGACTCAGAGCCAGCATGCTAGTTTCATAGTAAAATCAGCTAGGACTATTATTTTCAAGGGGTTGTTTGCAATCCTAACACAGGATTCCTCTGAATTTACTTAATTTATTATTTTGTGTCTTTTCCTTAGATTTCTATTCCAAAAGTAGAAGGTAACCTCTTATTTCCTAAGCATGTTTGATTCTTAGGATGTGTTTTGGAAAATATGGACATAAACATGCATCAGCTTCTGTCTCTATCTTTTATTTGTATTTTATTTAACGCACAGTTTAAAAAAATGTTCTTTTTCATACATTAAATGCTTTGAAATAGTTTGCTTGAGTATGTTAGAAACAATAACCAGACAAAAAAGAAAATGCCTTTATACGTTTTACTGTTGAACCACATGAACAAAGAAAACAATTAAAAATCAAAAATGATCACAACACAAAAATGTAATTAAATTTTCTTCTTTTATTAGTGTTTCCACCCAGGGCGTAAACAACAAGGCATTCATTTATCTCTATCTCTATCTCTATCTCTATCTCTATCTCTATCTCTGTCTCTAGCCTCACTGTAACAATAATAAATCCAGACTTAAAAACCTAATGCGAGATTTTTTTTGAAGAAATCTCTGAGGGTTTCTTTTCTCCTGTTTCTGTTTCTGTTTCTGTATAATCTATGCAAACACTAGTAGTTTTATGGGGAAGGACAATGGCTGGAGCAGTCTTCTTTAAAGGCATCTAACAATAAGATTTTCTACAGGTAACATAATGAATGGAGTTACAGTTTTCAAGTTTTAATATGTACCATCCATATACACATTTCACTTTCCTTTTTACACAAAACAGAACTTTATCAAACAGGACAAAAATAACTTATGATTGTATGAAAAGTAACTGTAAAAAAAAAAATCAAAAAATTATACATACTAGTACAGCAAAAAGTGTAACTAATTATTTTGATTTTTTTTTTCCATGACATGCAACAAGTATTTCTTTAGAGCAACTATCAGCCAGATATACAGTATGGCAGATTAAGAACATATGTGTATATGTAAGTGTGTATAAATATGCAGATTACTCTGTAAGGTTTAGGAAAAACATAATCCCACTTTCTCTCCTTACCAAAGTGCTTTGTGTAAAAAATATTACACAAGATGCTGCTTTTTGTACAGAACAAAAGAAATTTTTTTTCTTAAATATAACCCCTCTCAGCTAATTTTAAATGGCAATTTTCTTTTGCTTTACCTGCTTCTAGAAAATATATATTAAAAAAAAAACCCAAACCAACAAAACCAACCAACAACACAATTCCATACAAAGAACAAAAAAGTGCTGTTTAAAAAAATCTGCTATAAAACTACACAGGGAAAACAGGGAATAAACAGTTAAAATGTAATTTTTATACTCATTCACACCTCTTCAAAGAAAGCTGAAAACAAAATACAATGTGACAGATTGACAGATGGTTTTAGCACTTCAATACTTCAGCACCTGGTATTATTAAACCATAATGCTCGTGTGCTTGTGTGTATATATACATAGAAAGGGAGATCCAAATAAACACGTACACTCTCATATACTCCCACATGTACATATGCACTTTGAGACTGTATTTTGAACTCCAGTGTAGACCCATTTCTAATAAAGATATAAATAGATCATTGAGTCTGAAAACAAGTGAATTGTATAGAAGAATTGTAAATAATTTCATTCGAATATTTTGTCATGTCCATAGTCTAAAATAATTTCATTTTCTAGACATGAATCCCTTTAGAAAATTAACAATCCAGCAAGTAGAATAACAACATAAAAATCAGTAAGGCACAAGTATTTGAAGATAACTCAGTAACTGGCATTACTTTATGTATTTTCCCAAGCACCTTTTTCATTGTAACATGTGACAAACACAATTCCCTAATTAAATACTTGAGATAAAATAATTCTTTTTTATACAATTGCCCTCAGTGATTGAGTTGATGTTCTGAAATCAGTCCAATTTCAAAGAGAATAATGAAATAATTGTGAAGAATCCTCTCTCTCTGAAAGATAAGTAAACAAAGGCATACTTTCCTACAATCTGGTAGCCCACTCTCATGTGCTTGATGTAACTGTACCCTAACTCCTTCTTTTTAGTATTAAGGCTCACGGAAACCTGTGAATATATATATATATATTATATATATTTGAAATAACGAATTAATGACTTGCAAAAATTTTCTTTTTTTAAATGTAATGAAGCCCCAAATTATGAAAGCCCTTTTTGAATTCTGTACTCCCACTTTTCTTTTGGTCAGAGTGTTTCAAAATATAAAATCCTCTGCTCTACTGAACAGTTTGTACATTCAGATACTAGAAAAATATTTCAAAATGTTTAAAAGCCAGGGTAGTACAGATCTGAAGATAGCAACAATATTTCAGTTCTGTGCACAGCAACGGACAAACTCTGGACAACCACATGGTTAAAAGAACCTTGAGGGATTTATACATACAAAGTATGTATGTACATATGTATGTTACACACCTATGTCCACATTGAGCCTGATCCTGCTCTGGCTGACTTCAGTGGAACAAAACACAGTCCCACACATTTGAAATTGAATTGTTCAGTGTGACTAGTTATTTCTGCTGAATCAAGTTATGCTTGTGCAGTGAATGCATAAAGGGCTTTAAGATAAGACAAAAGTAAAGCTTAATTAAAAAGCGAAACTCGTGGTCAGTGCACTGGGCCTGATCCTACACTAATGCAAAAGGACTGTGCATGTATAGCTGTAAGGGATGCCTGATGTCATTTAATCAAATGCAAGCCACATATTGTAAAATCTGGATCTGTTACTGCAAGTTGGAGCAAAGCAACGCCTTCACTTATGATCTGAGATGCAGAATAAAAGGGGGAAGAACTTAGCACAGAATTATCTGTATTTTAGTCACACTACTTCTTATTGTACTTCATTTATCTGCATGGTTTGTCCATATATTCTATGTATTTATTGGATGAAAATCTCTCCATTAAACATTTAAGCACATGCATCTGCACATAAGAATATACTTAATACATAAAAACCTCAAAAGATTGAAAAACTCAAAAAAGAGTTTGTATAAACATTTTTTTATGTTCATCTTTGCAGAAGAGTGATTTCAGAAGCATAGTTGTGGTCTAGCCTGTAAGAACGAACTGAATTTCTGTCCTTATTATATCAGATCATGAAAAAGTTAAGATGCACACTAACACAGTTAAGAAGTCCACAAAATGGATGAAAAAGGATTAATCACCTAAAAATTCAATCCTGCATAATGTGACAGTTGCTTCCAAGGCATATAGGATCACAGTGATGGCAGGTCTTCACTGCAAAATACTGGATTTAACTGACAATCTTGCATCTTTCATGAAGAGCAACCATATTTGCTTGCATCCTGGACTAAATTCAAAGACTAGAGCTGACCCTGAGTAGAAAAATCAAACCCATCAAACCAGTTCAATTTTACCTCTAAGTAACCAGAGGGGACACAGCACACTTAAGAGTAGTTCTTTCTGGAAATATGTTATAGAAAATATTAGGGCAACAAAAATTTATTTGAATCAATACAAATTGGTTTTTAAAAAAAAATCTGTGGAATTTAAGGAAGAATCTTTCCTACACAGTATTTTAAACCTCCCTAAAGAAAACTATAGCACAGTATTAGCATAGTACAGCAATAAAGTTCTACAATGTAATTAAAAAGCAACAGAAAGTTAAAATGTACTTATTCTTATCTGGCATCTGTGCTAAACAGAGACAAAGTCTACGTAAATTCTCATGTGTTTAACCCTTCTTATTCACAATTAAAGCATTGGGTTGGAATGAATATTGGAAAAATAGCAATACCCATATTGTACGGCTCAAAATACAGAGGGAAGGAAGAGACACATAACCCAAGGCCTGTAAGAAATACAGTACCAATGATATTTGACTCCAAGAAGAAGCCACACCAGTACCTCCGATGGGTAGTGCCAAATTATATGTCTAATTTTTCTCCCTTCTGGATACTTGTGTGTGTTTAAGGTTGGAAGCATCATATGTAAACAGATTGTGCAAAAAGCTGTATGCCTTTGAAATGGTTTGTAGTATGCTCTAGTTTTACATCTTTTCCTCTTTTGAAAAAGGAATTTTCTGAAGCTTTGTTCTTCAGCAAGTGCACCCATTCAGCTTGAAAGGATTGCAGCTAACAAGCAGTTTTCTTATTTGGTCTCTGAATTCCCTTTGAGAAATTAAAAAGAAGAAATAATAAAAAAATAGAGTTGCTGTGCCACAGACGAGAAGAAAAGAAACAATTACTAAGGTTTTGGCAAAGCTTGCTTTCTCTAAACATTCCCCTTCTCAGTTGGAGCTTGATTAAATGAAGAATGCTCAGTGATTGCTTTTTTCCTCTCCATTATGTATGTATATCCAGTCGTATCCCCATACATACATGCCAGTTTCATGAAGAGAAACATTTTGTGGAGAAATACAAGAAGGGTAAGATGAAATGGAACGAAGTTTTTGTAACTAGATTTATATTACTTTAGCCTTCAGTATATATGGAGGAAAGCTGGCTAGAAGGATGATCCACTGCATTTACTTGTAGCAAACCGCTGTCCTCTGGCATGCTGCAAGCTGAATCACCAAAGATACCTATGGACCCTGCTGGAAAGTCATACACTGGAAAAAAAACCAAAAAACCAGTTAATTAACTAGGATAGCTATATCATGAAATATGTTCTAATACTTATACATAGATCTGGAAATGGCTTTAAATCAAATACACAAACAAAACAAACAAGCCAACATATGTTTGAAATTAATAACATCACTTACTGCTTACCAAGGGAGGAATTTTCAGTTCTGTCTGAATTGAGTCTGATGCACAGCAGAATTCATCAGAGCTAACACTTCCCCATACAATGGGTGTTGAAATTGTGATAATTTAAAAAATAAACTTCATGCTTGCCTAAAAAATTTCATCATACTGAACTCATGATAAAATATTGTAGAATGAATTGCTGTAAAGCAAAGCCTGGCACAGAAATGACAACCTTCTACAAGCAATAGTAGTAAACACAAGAGTAACTGTTTGCATAAAAACCCCCACCTTTTGGATAACAGGTTTACATACTGTGAGATGACTCTCTGAAATTACAGGTGCATTGGCTTTGCATGCACTACTGAAGGAGCAAGGATGTAAAAGGGATTTCAAAGAACAGTAAGTGTTAAGTGAATTCATCCTGTGTAGAAGAACAATAAAAGACTTGGTGCATAGTTGTGCTTAGGCCCTAAGATTAGCTTCACTGTCTTGTACTGATCCCCTGCACAGAGGGAACTTTATCCCTTCCAGAGCAGCATGCAAGCCCCTGAAGTTCTTTTCATCTGGGTAGAGACTAAGTTAAGTGCACACAGATTAGTGCACACCAAGGCAGTTTTTGTCATAGAAATGTGAATGAATTAAATTCAAGACTGATAAAACCCAAACATACACAAAGCAAAATCAGTGGTTTAAATCACCTCAGGTCCCTGCTACAACACGATCAGTGAAGTGGAGTGGCTGCACGAATATCATACAAGGCTCAACAGACTGCATCTCAAAGCAAATACACAAACTAGAGACTGTATGACCTCCACAGGTTAGAACATTGAGAAGCCCTCAACAGAGTACAGTTTACACACAAGCCAGTTGTTGCTGTCACCTATGGTGACTGCTTCCCAATGCCAACCACTCCACAAAGGTCTGAAAACCATCTCCTCTTTGTGAGTCAAAGAGTCAAATCTGTCACGAGACGTTCCACTCACATGGCTCAAGCAGATCAACGTTCACAAACTGTACACAATCAACCACAAAGTCACCAGCTGTCATTTACCTGTTATACCAGGATGACCTGAAAAAGTTCGATGGAAAATGCCAAGCCCTGCCTGGCCAGCTGAAGTGGGAGATATGCAGTCTTCAAAAGGAGGAACCATATTGCAAGAAACACCATTTTGTACGCTCTTCTGAGTGTCAGCATGATATGAACGGCAGAAAGTCTGAAGCTGCCCATAAAAACCTAGAACAAGGAGAAGAAGGCCATCAGTAAAAGACCTAGACAGAAATACAAAGGATGGCATGTGGAATTGTGGCTGAGAGAATGATGAAAGCCTCAACTGCCATAACACCAGGTCTTTAATAATTTTACACTAATAGTGTTGATATGAAGCTCCCTAAAACTTCCTCCACTGGCTACCAATTCCAAACACATTCTGCTTCATCTTCGGATATCCTGATTCCACGTGTAACTTGTGAGAGGTACTGACTGTCTAGAAGCTGAAATTTTTCAGGAAATATCTATACTCCGCAGTCCTGCTCTCTAAACTGGTTCTCTCCAGAGACCCCACTGTGCATCTGCCTGAAAAATCAAAGAAAACACTTAATTCCAAATAAAGGAAGATTACCCAAGCAAAGTCTGAGTAACAACTGAGAGTCTGTCACTGACGCCAAGACAACTGGCTGATAGTGGGGACATACGCAGAGACTCAGCAGGGCTGCTAGATGATGATGGGGCCTGCTCTTTGCAAGTACAGGGTGAGAGTCTAAACCCACTCATTGGCAGCGATAAGTCCACAGGGAAGAGAACCAAGACCACTGTGTCATGTGGCACAAAAAATCCCCACCAGGGTTTTTTTTTCTAAAAGTTTTTTGTTCCTGAAGTGGTATTTCAGAGGCATATAAGCACTGGGCAAATTCACATTGAAGTCCATGCCAAATATGTATTTATATAACAAAATTCACTCTTCTTTGTAGGAGGGGGCACATGCAGTCTAAGAAGAAACAGACAGATACTCTGCAGTAGGTTGGTCAAGAGATTTTCTCATGGAAGCAAGGTCTTTTCTCCTGCCTAAAGAACTGTCTAAGTCTAAGCTTTGGAGATTTAGTTTGGTCTGAAGGAAGGCTTTTATATATAGAAGATCACTGGGATGCATTTATTTCTGTTTTCTATAATATGGTCTTGGAGTAAATGTCAGAAGTAAACCCACAAATCAGTATCAGAATATCTGTATCTTTTCCTTTAAGAAAAACTGTGAATCAAGCTCCTCTCTGCCAGTGCTGTGTCTCCTTGTTCTCACCACTCTCTTTCTCTGCATAAAGGAAAAACACAGTGCATTATCTTCAAGGTGTTACATAGAAATTGTAGACCTTGACTGTTCAAAAATAGGCTCAGGAACAATAGACTCTCTGAAGATTTTATTAGCAAAAACTTACTGCCTAAAGGCTGGTGTGCTATTCTCTTGATAAAGAATATGTTGAGGTAAGTCATACCTAAAAGCCACTGTCAGAAAAATAACCCCCTACCTCTGTAAGCATTTAAAGGAATTTCCTGTGACATTACTGTCATTAGAAAAAGTTGTTGTGTAGAGCTGAATCCTCTAGTCAGTCTATTTAATCAATATCCATATGACCAAGTCATTCCAGATGAATTTTCTTCTAGCATAGATGAAAAAGCAATAAAACAGTCCCTAAACCCTTAATACATCAACATCAGGGGAAAAAGAAGGAAAAGGGTGAAAGAGGGCTTGGAAAACACCTTTTAATGCACTTTTTATATAAAGGAAAAGAGAGAAGAGAGGAGAGAGGAGAGAGGAAAGAAGAGAAGCCCAAAGAAAAATAAAAAGTAGAAGCATGGCTCCCCTTCCACAGCAGGCAAAATTTGCCTCTCACTCCCAGAGAGGCTGACCACTCACAAATTTCATCATCTTTTTGCAAGGGTTACCCTAGCTGTGAGAGATGGTTTCAATGTGGTGTTTTGTTTTTTTTCTTAAAGTTTAACTGCAACAAAACCACGTCAGACTGTTAGGAATTTACAAGCCATCAATCCCTAAATATTCAGTCTTGACATTTAAGAATCAACAGTAGTAAATTAGTAGAAAATTAAAGAAAAAACAATAGTCATCCAAAACTTGATTTTGAAGCTATATTAGCTACATGAAGCTATTGACAGGTTTTGCCTTGTTTAAAAATGTTTTAAAAATAAACATTTTTCTCAACCAGAAAGAAGATGCACCATGCAAGTTTATTGTTGAGTCAGACTAGTTAACAGAAGCAACCATTTCTATGTGAGTGGTCTGAACTAGCTAGCAAGATCCCTCAAGACACAAGTGTCCTTTCACTATTACTCTGTGCTCATTCTCTATTTATGCCTTTCACAGCATCCTGTTGCCAGTGTAGAACAATCTGCCAGTAACTTTGACTATTGCTAGCTCAAGTCTGGCAGAAAAAATATCTACCTTGGCACTGAGCTACTGTTGAGTCACATTCTCTCTGTTTGGTCATCCGCTAAAGTAAAAAAATATTGTCTATCAAAGATTTGACCCATCAGTACATTAAAATCTAAACAGCAGAAAGGACTAGAGAAGTGCAAAAAGCACTTATGTTGACTAGAAAATTCCCAGAAAATTTTTTATGATGGAAAGAGAGCAAAGAAAAGTAATGCAACTTTCCTAGATACATGTTCTTTTCGTAATCCAGTGTCAATTACACATCTTATAAAACAGAGAGCTATAAACAAGAAAAAAGCATATGTAGTTGTCCTCCCCTCAGTTATTTAGCACTGTTCTAAATGTTTTTGTGTGCATCTACAGTGCCTCAAGTGGAAGGGGAGAGGTCTTAGAATTGAAGCCCAATATGAAAGCAAAATCTCCTAACTTGGTGTCAGGAGCTCTTTCCTTTATTCACATGGTGCCATGCCCAAGATAATCTCCAATACAGCTCAATGTATGATAACATGAAACCACATGCAAGTCAGGCCATAGACCCTGACCATATCTAGCCCATCATTCAAAATTATCTGCTAGAGAACTACCTGTAGTATCAGTTTTCTGTGTTTTCATGCAGTGCTGGAAAAAATAAAAAAAAAGGCAAGCAGTATAGCTAATAAAGTTTCATGAGCTGAACATTTCTTCTCAGGGCTGCAACTCTGAATTGTGTAAGCTGGTCTCTTATTAAACTGTTTAAAACACACACATGCACAGGGTTATGTCACTTGTGTTTCTTTTTATCAGTTACACTACAGCCAAGATCCATGATGTCAAGATACAGAGCAAACAGTTGTTTTTCTGACATGATGGGATTATTTCCTTAGGAAAGTGAAATATTTTTAAATATGATAAAATAACTGTATGCTGCAAGAATTGCGTCTAAAAGCAAGAAGCTCTTATTCTTTATCACATAAAGAGCTTTGTCCTGACAGGTGCTGAATATCTGAAAAGCCCAGGTAGAGAGCTCATCTCAAATTCACACCTGAAACTGTGGTCGGTGTAAGTTTGGGATAGAGTCCTTCTCCTATTGTACTGATGTGGACAAAGATTTTCTTGCAGATATGTAATGAATGACTGCCACAGTTATCATTTCCATAAGGTAGGAAGTTTCTAATGGACATCTATTCCCTCCTCAGTCATCTCTCTGCCTGGCACAACAAAGAGAGAGTATTTTCTCAAGAAAATCATTACAACTGCCATTAAGAAATGCACATCATGAGTGAATAGCCATTGCTGCTATGGTATGTAAAAATGCCAGCTGTCTTTGGCCTGAAATACTTCAAAATAGTGTTCCTGTGCAGTATATTTCTACATTTCCACCAGGCGAATTATACAATACCAAGTAATCGTTTGGTACCATCCGGCTGCTAAGAACAAATGCAACAGAAAGAGTGAGATATGAGTCACCTACTGTACTAACAGACTAATTTGCAAATGTGAAAAGCTAGAAATGTTTCTGTTTACCGAAATCTGATTTTTTTTTGCAATTCAAAGATAACTCTTACTAGTAGAGCTATCTGTATAGATACACTAATATAACTAATATCAGCTAACAATTTTTTTTAATGCAACTTTTTTTTTTTATGAATACTTTGTATGATTTTTAAAATTTTTTTTCCATTATTCAGTCAGCTCTGAAAATGAGTTTAAAGAGAAAGCTGTATTTCTATTCTAAGATGAATAACAATTAGCTAAGGTAAGAATTTTAAGGAAGTATAAAAGCAGGGTCCTGAAAGCTACTTCCCAACATCTTTCAAAAGGAAAAGTGCCTTAAAAGTATCAGTGCCAGCCCCTAAAGCACCTTTGACAAACAACTAATGTCAGCAATCTTCAGTTTGACATTCTTCCTTCTTACCCTGGATGTGGAGGGTATTTGGTTGAAAAGAAGGGCTTTCTGCTGCCTGGTGTGTCTTTGGAGGCAATCCTGCAGGCTGTTGAAGCTGGGGAGGTTGTGAAGTCTGTCTCTGCAACATGGGATGTGGAACAGACATTCTCTGGTGGCTGACGTGGTGAGGAGAAGGAGCCGGAGCAACAAATCTAGGAGTTCAAAACCACAAAACTGTAAAATCTCCAATACATAAGAGCTAAAGATTGTTTCTAGTTTATTTAGATCACTGTCACATTTAGCTATTTGCATAGATACAGACTTCTGAAATAAGTGTTCAGCCCAAATAAGAGAGGATATATTTTTAAATCATTACATATCATTAGATTTGAAAACTATGAAGTTGACCCCTATTATGGGAAACTCCTTTTTTTTAACCCACTCCTTCTGTATTTAAGTCTTAATAGGAGTAGATACCTCATGGGGGACCTAACTTAGGCACTGCAAGCTGTTCATTTTAGGACTTCGTGTCAACTTTATCTATCAATAAGTAGCTGTCCTTCCTGAAGGACAATCTAAAGGCAATATAATGTAAATAAAGACAAGTGTTAAATTGCTTCCAGAGTCTGACCAGATCAAAATGTTGATCTGGACTCAAAGTATAAAGTTAAAAGCCTCACAGAGGAGGAGATCTCTTGAAAACAAACCTCGTGATGAAGCTGCCACATAGGTTCAGTGGTACATTTTTCACAGCTCTGTCACCACTGGCACTACAAGGATAGACACTACTTTTGAAGGTTTTAAACAAGAGTTTTACAGACTTTACTTCTTTTATGGGCATTTTTTCTACATTTCCTTAAAATTGCATACCTCAAAGTACATTATAGTTAGGTGCTATAATCATTTTTGTGGACAGAAAACAGAGGTTGTGAGAGCTCTAGCCTGTGGAGCTCTCACAATGATCAAAGTACCCACTAGACCAATGGGATCTGATTAGTTAATGAAAGCTCAGCCTGGGCTCAGGAATGGCTCTGGGCCACCTTCTCATCCAGGAGGAGAGATGGAAAGGCCAACAAAAAAGAGCCAGGACATTTCTGCAGAAGGGCTAGTGGAAACTGATACAGTATTCCTGTCACAGATTAGCCTCTCCATTGCTAAAAGCAAGCTGCAAGTCTGCTGAGAAAGAGTATCCACCTATCCTTCCCTGTGTTCTAAGCAGCTGCCTCTGTTAACACAGTCTACCAGTATTCTGAAGTGTGGATCTGGTCCTTGTCCTGAGACTGGATCTCAATACACAGTATGACACTTTTTTTTTGAAGCTAGCAAAAAAAGTATGGTTTTCCTGAAGAAATGTAAGGAAGCTTTTATTACATCTTGAATACAACAGGAGGTGCAACCGCAGTAGTAGCGCTATAGAACACCTCTGGACAGGGTCATTGTACAGGGTGTAACTACATTTAAATCCAAGTCTCTTCAGATCTTTTAGGCTGCAGCTCAGAATCTTCCATCTGCCACACATTATCTGCCTGATTTTGACTTCATTTGAAAGCTATTTACTGGTGGTCCATAATCTACATTTGGAGTGTACCAAGATGAACTGTGGATGATTTACTACGTACTCAGCTTTCTTTGAGAATCACATTTTTAGGCATATTAGATGGCGTTTGGATGGTCTTCGTGCTGATGTGATATTAACTTCATAAACACACCTTCAGATATGCTACATAGATGGAGGAGATAAAGATGTCACTACTGAGTTTGAGTCTTTAATGTGTTAAGCATTTCATTGTTCATCAGATAACTGATGCAGAGTAGACTTAAAGACAGGCTAAGGAGGAAGAGAACAAAGTATGCATGTGTTTCACAATCATACAAGAGAATAACTTTTTTAAAAAGAGAAATCAGTAGTGATATTGTGATAAAAAGATCAGAGATTTTTAAAAGGTGCTGCAACTACCCAGTTATGTGTCTCCTGAGTAATGACTGTAGTTAGTTTTTTGTATAGCACTCACACACAAAAACTGTTATCTGCTAGCGATTGAAAGCAAAGCACAGGCAGTCTTTAATAAAATTAATTATTTAAAAATTCACTGTATATAATCCTCTGTGTTTTCAAAATTAATTTTTGAAAATTAGTATCTGAGAAATGGTTTTAACCAGCAGCCACCAAAAGAGAAAAGATAATTTTCAAAACTCAAAGGGAAAAGCATAGTTTTAGAGATTTCACATTTGATTTAACATCCAAAAAAAAAGTCCCAATAATAATGAACTATATTGTACAGACAGACAGGGCTCCATTTTAGTAGACAGTAGTGGCCTCTATAATGATCTATGAATTACGTCATGAATTCAGGCTTACTCATACCCATGTCCATAGTTATCTATCTTTTCTTTCCTTCTGCTTAACAAAAGAGAAACTTGTCTCAGTTCAGTGTGTTACTGGGGGAACTGCAAATTTAATTCTGTTCCCGAAACAATCAGGACCAGCTTGTAGTCACTTGGAAATTGCTATCAAAAACTGTGGCCAAGCCCAGGACTCGATGCACTCAGGAACTTGCCAGATTTGCAGAAAGTTGCCCTTTCCTGTGCCTGACGGGTACAAAATCAGAACAGGAATTCTTCTGGAGCCATTAAGAAGCCTCTTCCTTTTCAGTAGTAGATAGGAAAAGGTGTCCTATGGGGGTATGACTACATTTGGTAGTAAGCAAGGTAGATTACAAAGTTACCAAAGCTTATCTCTTTTGATGACATTAGTTAAAACGGCACATATAAAAGTGATTTTTTAATGACCAGTACCCGTCATGGATACACAGAAAAAAAAAAATATTTTTTTACTGGATCTGGTTCTGTGATACCTCTACTCTTTAGCATTAGCCACTTATATGTGCCATTTGCTCACTAACAAAAAAAAAGTGATTGTCTTAGCAGACAATCCTATGAGGTGTCCCATGCCTTGAAAGAACTTATGTACTTATTTCAAAACCACACTGTTGAGGTCTTTAAGTAAAGAATTTCTTTGGGGGAGCCCCTTGTATGCCACATACAAAGGACTTTGTAAACATCTGAAAGTTGTATGCCTCAACTCCTTGGTTAGAACTACTCAGAGGCTTTTGCTTCTGGAAGTCTGGCTTGGAGCTAGTTGCAGAACTTATTATACCATTACAGTGCTGTTAAACTGAATAGTTCAGCCCTAAGATCTTCTTTTCAGCCTTACACAGTCTCTAGAAATTCCTGTGAAGCCAGGATGCAGCAGGCTTTAGAGACACACTGCTAGCTCTCGTTCACAGGAAGGTAAAAAAGTCATCTGGAACACCAAGTCCCTGAAAAAATTTGTTCTGGTCTCACATCAGTAAACAGATGATTTCTTGCTCAAAAGCAAGATGCATATACTGGACAATTCAATAAATATTAGAAAAATAATTTGAAAGTAATAATTTCAAGCATTTAGCACCCTCAATTTTGCAGCACTGAGCTGCATGTTAACTATGCCATATAAACCCATAAATTTTTGAGTTTTAATTAGATTTCAGCTTTCTTGTGTGCTCATGCCTCCTTGTATTACAAACATGAATGAAAAGGAAGTGAAGTACACATTCCTTTTCATATAAATGCTTTTAGGTACATACCTTCATTGAATATTTGCAGTGTTTCATGTTAGGGGAGCACTGAAAGTTAGTATCAAAGAGCTGGGACAAACAAAATGTAAGTCTGCATTTCTATTACGTATGTTCTTTTCTTCTTCATTTGATAAGTGAAATTACTTTTTGGATCCAAACTTTCTGATTTGCATTCTGTGTACACAGAATTACGTAAACAGAATGAGTGCAGTGTAAGATGTGTCCCATGTTTGGTTCACTTTCTCACATTAATAAGGCTTAATCAAGTCCCCACTCCCTAGCAGAGGAAGACACAGATGAAACCCTCCAATTATTTCTCTATCCCATGGTACCCAGGGATGTAGGGAAAGTGCTCATCTCCTTCCACTTCTGTCCAAAAAATGGCACATGATTGACCCCCAGGGTCATCAAAGCACCAGGCCAGTTTGGATTGGCTTGAGTTCAACAAACACAGCCTTCTGTCAGGGCAAGGGCTGGTCAGTCAGTCCTAGCTCTGGAATGCCCCAGGCATGCCACTCTGTCAGGAACCATGCAGTGGAATAGTTTGAAGTTGGAAGCACAGAAGAATGGTTTGGATTGGAAGGGACCTTCAAAGGTCATCTAGTCCAACTCCAACTCGCATGTGGGGGAACGAGTCCCTTACTTGCCCCCCTAAATCCTGTAGTCCTCTCAACAAAGAGACTGAGATAAACAGAGTGATTTATGCCTTTCAAAGACACTATCTGCGGCACTTTCTATATGGAAGGTTTGTTCAGTTCACATTTTCGCAGCTGTTGTTACACTTATGAAGTGGTATAAATGACAACCTACTTGCAGGACCCCTAGGAGAGTGCACCGTATTAGATTCAAGATGCAAGATGAAGTAGAATTTCTTTTAAACATTTCCCATAGTTTGTATTATATATTCTGACACCAAACTAACACTGCTGTAATACTTTTTTCTTTTCTGAATTTAAATTGGAAATTGTCACACTACCTAAATGAAGACACTGACACCTTTTTTCTTAATCCAAAGTACCTTCACATATGAGAGTTAGTCTTTTTAGAGAGAGTACACTCTCTCTAAACAAGCTCTATACAGTTAACACATGAGACAGGAGTGTATCATACTAGCTTTTTATTATTGTGTAGAGTGTTGTATTATCTTGAGGTCTGTAATGCATTGAATGAATTCAATTAAGTCACACTCTAAATATATCTGCTACGGTTCTACACCAGTGGAATCTCAGAAATGGGCTGATGACAAGATCACTGTCTTTCATAATGATATTTATACCTGTAATAACTGTTGACCTGTCCCTGCCTGTCACCTTGAGCTCTGACAGTTTTTGGGTACAGATGTTGGACAGGTCATGCACTGGAGAGGAAACTATACTAGGAAAGAAAAGTCTCTGTGTCAGGCAACAGAGCTTGGACAGCCTCAGAGGGTCTACACAGAGGTTAAGAGACAGGGCAAGGGAAAAAGATCAGGACTATGTGGCCAGGAGTGGAGAGGAAGGACCGAACTGAGGTCTAATGATCATGAGGCAGCACATTTTATCTCTGACTGATGTACAAAAAGCTCAACAACTTTCAGTCACTCCCAAACTGGCTGAATTCATCTGAAGTCTGAAATAAAAAAGTACTTTTAACTGCTGTCAATTCCCTGAGCCACCACATTTTTCCACCTTCCTGACACAAGGCAGAGTAAGTACTGCTTTCATCGAAAAAAATTATGCTTATTTACCAGTAATTGATGGCCAGTCTCTTCGCGAACGAAGAACCGGGGAA